AGAAAGAGAAATGATGTTTTCATCATCAGGTGATTTTTCTCTGCGATGTTTTTCTTTTTTATTCTTTCTATCCTGTTTAGCACAAAGATTGCACAATGCACATTTTTGAAGTTTGTCTTTATACAACCTTGTAAATTCAGCATTAGTTTTAGATTTTATATAATGAAAACACCAGCTACTTTCTTCATGGATATTATAGCTTTCAATGTTTTGAGCAGACATTTTTAAATTTGAATATTAGAGTTTTTTATTTGATTTATTAATTGATTGATTAATTTTTTGATAAGAATGCTTTGAAATTTGAGAGCAAAATGAAGGCTTTATATATACGTTTGAAATTTTGAACTGTTCTTTATTAAATAAATAAAATACATATTGATCTTAATTAAAATACGTATTAATCTGGGAAATAATTTTTACTTAATTTAGCAATTATTTCATGAATTTTATCTTGCGTTCGGGCCGAGATATAATGCATATATGATACCTTGGCCAATATATAATTATGCACAATAGCTTGGTCGTTCAAAATTAACAATGCATAATATCTTGGCCGATCTGAAATAATGCATGATAGCTTGACTATAGAACAATACATGCATGATATTTTAACCAATCTGAAATAATACATGATAGTTTGGCCGTAGAAAAAAGCATGCATGATATCTCGGCCGATCTGACAAAATGTATGATAGTTGATCGATTTGTGATAATTAACAATATACATTTCAGTTAATGCATATTTTGGCTTTTAGCTTTATAAGTGCAAAAAAGAAAACAAAATATATGCATGATATCTCTGCCGATCTAAAATAATGCATAGCTAATTCTCGATGATTAATAACAGGCATTTCGGTTGATACTCCTTCAGCTTTTAGAATTGCAAAAAAAAAGATATGCATGATATCTCAGCCGATTTGTAATTACGCATGATTACTTGACAATTGTCATTGTGATAAATATTACTATCAGAAAAAAGACTATGGTTAAAGGTAATGTTTCCTAATAGCTGACAAAAATTTGAATAATTTATTCTTGGGAAGTATCCAGAAAAGTTAAAAAATTTTAACTAATTTGAAGAGATTTGCATCGCCAAAACGTTGAGAATTTTACTATTGCTGTGTGCCTAATCCTGAAACCTTTAGCATTATATACATAAACATAAAAAAAAATTAAAGCTATTATCATAATTATAATTTCTGGAACACAAAAATTTGCTGAATGATTTTTCAGTAAATTCATTTAGTTATTATTTAGGCATAATAAATCTATAAAATTACAAAATTGTATGTATATACATGACTTTTACATTAGTGCACTGGCACAATATTATTGTACCTATATTACAAGCATTACTAGACTTTATACCAACATTATTTACATAACAAAAATTACAAGTCAGAAACTTATACACAAATTACAGTAATTTGCTATTCGAAAAATATAAAAACATATATATTACATATGATACTTGTTCTATAGATAATTTTGTCATTACAAATGTCGACATATTCAATATTATTAAATT